GAGGGGAGCGCGGCCTGATGCCGGCGCCTCCGCGGGGCTGTTCTCCGCGGGCCGGGCCTCCTGCCGCGTCTGCAGTGCCCCGGCTCCCGTTTCGTCCTCCGTGGTTCTGGTGTGGAATCCGTGTGGCACTGGTGCCTGGGACAGGAAAGGAACAAATGTCTTCCTTGGGGTCATTTTTAAAAAATATATGTTGATTTCAGAGAGAGGAAAGGAGAGGGAGAGAGCGAGAAACATCAATGGCGAGAGTCACCACTGACCGGCTGCCTCCTGCAGGCCCCCGCCTGCGCCCTGACCGGGAATCGAACCGCGTTTTCTCCGACCCCAGGTCGGTGCTCAGCGGCTGAGCCAGGCGGCCGGGCCCTGGGGTCTTTTTTTATTGGTAAGAGGGCGAGAGGAGGAGGGGCCATGCCTCCCGGGACTCCCTGCTGAATGTCCACCCATTTTCTGGGTTCATTAGAGAGCAGGGAGAAGGTGTACCACTTGGGAGACAACTTGCTTAGTTTTTCTGCTCTTAATCATCAATAAGAACCAACAATTAAGCCCTTGAAAGGTATTCGAAGTCTATTCAGAATGGCGAGTTTAGGTGACTTTTTTAAGGAAAAAGTTGTTTTCTTTCCTGGGAAACCAGTGCTGGCATGGAGTATACGATGATATTCCCCTAACGCTGATACCCTGTGGGGAAACACAAAGGCCGCTGTGTGTGCTGGAGGAGGCTGGACCCTCTCCAGCCCTGAGAGCTGTGGGTTTGCAGAGATCCTTGCGGGCAGGCACCGTGGAGGACTGGGCAGGACCAGGGGGACACTGGATGGAAGAGGCAGCTGCCTTGGGAACAGGGAGGGGTCTGCGGGGCCCCCCAGGGACTGTGGCTGCTTCTCCTCATCTCTGTGCCCTGCTTCCGTCTCCCTCTGCTATGGGACACTTGTGAGCTGCTTTATTTTGCACAGAAAGCACTGATACATTTCACAGGTGAAAATGGTAAGAGTTAGCATTCCAGTGGTATTCCCATTTTACTGGGGGGGAGCTGAGGCTCAGGCTCACCCAGAGTCGCACAGAAAGCAGCAGGGCTTGGGTTCAGCCCTGTGCTAGGTCGGCCTAGGAGCCCTGTGTACCATGGCCTCCTCTCGCCTGCGGGGCCCGTGGTTACTTAGTCACAAAGATTGTTTTCCTGAAGCTGTATTTTTCTTATTAAAACATCATCCCTGTGCCCCTCCCCACTCCTGGAGATAATATAACCCAGGGTCTGGCTCCTGGCACCATAGGACAGGACTGTAGGGGCCTGCTTGGTCTGACCCCCTGACTTTAATAACGGGGAAACTGAGGCACGGCGTAGTAAGTAGTTTGCCAGCAATCATAGCAACTGGTTAGAACAGAGGTGCACCCTGCATCCCTCCAATGGTGAGGGAATTACACCGTGTTTCTTACTGATACGCTCTAAAGTGTGCTGAGAGGGCTCCTGGAGGGCAGTGGTCAGGGACTGTCCATCTCTCCAGCCCCCAGGAATGTACCAGCCCCTTCTTCCTAGTTGTTGCAGACCCAATAGCATTTCCTGCTCTCTCCACACTCACAGCTCAACTGGAAATCTGGGCTGGGGTTCAAAGCTCGCATGTAGCCACCCTATGTTGACCTTTATGGGGAGGTACCAGCCTGTGCCGTGGAGGAACCCAATTTCATTTTCCAGTTGATATGATCTTTGGTTTCTTTTCATAAACATGTCTCATAAAGGCGGATGAGGTTAATGACTCTCTGCCTTTTCAAGATTAAGGAAAATGGATCACCTGAACTTTCTTTTCTGTCCTCGCTGACCTCTCGTGAATCAGCTGGAACTTTAGACCAGCTGTCCGCCAGCGTTCTGTGGGGCCTGTATGATGATTAGTCTACACACTGGAAGCTGCATGGTTATTTCTCAAAGTAAATAGCAATCAGGAAAACATTCTCAGGATAAGTAAATGTTTATAATAACTTTTAAGAAATCAACCATAAAACTCAACCATCCTTGGGGGAATGAATAATAGTATCTTAGCATGCCAGTGGGGACCCTTCTCCCCCCAGCTGCGTGGGGAGAGCCAATGAGAATCAGCTGCTTTGTTTTTTTTTTAACCCTCACCAGAGAATATTTTTTCCATTGCTTTTCAGAGAGAGTGGAAGGGAGAGAGAGAGAGAAACATCGATGTGAGAGAGACACATCGATTGGTTGCCTCCCCCCCACACCCTGACCAGGGCCAAGGATTGAGCCTGCAACTGAGGCACGTGCCCCTGGCCAGAACCAAACCCGGACTCTTCAGTCCACAGGCTGACCCTCTAACCACTGAGCAAAACGGGCCAGGGCAGCTTCCTGATCTCTAATCTGAAGACTTCTTCATAACTGCTGTGAAGCCCCTTTTTTTAAAAGTGGAAAACACATTAACATGTGAAGTGATTTTTAAGAAGCCATTATTGAGCCTCCTGGGAAAGGCTTTCTTTTTTTCTTTTTTAAGGGGGGGCAGGAAACTCATCAGGCATCCTGAGCAGTGCTGTGCTAAGCCATTGCCCAAGGCAAAGTTCAGTTCTTAAATGCTGCTCTGGTCAGTGATCAGGTGGCCCTGGGATGCTTTCAGTGGCATTTGTCCGCCTGGTGCAGGACTTGGCTGTCACCATGGTGGAGAGACCCCCACCTTCCTGGCCTGCATCTGCTGGTGAGCTGTCCTCTCCAGGCACGGGCTCTCCACAGCCGGGGGCGGGCATTGACATGGGTGAGCTCTGTCCCTTGTCCCTTTTCCCTTATCCTCCCACTTCTCTGTTCTTCTGCTAACTTACATGCTGCCCTACTTTTCTGGGGGTTTTTCTTGTCAGTTTTGATGCTAAAACTTTTCCTGAGCCCCACTCTTCAGACACTTTAGTGCTTCACGTGACCTGTCCGCCCGGTCACACCTGCCCCTCTAGGCCCCTCCTGCTCCTTCCTCTCTGCCTGTAGACTTGAGGCAGCTGATCCTCAAGCACTGCAGTCTCCAGGGCAAAGCTGCAGGCAGCTCCCTGTGGGTTCAAGGCTTTCCAAACACAGAAACTCAGTCTGTCCTGTACTGAATTGGCATCCCTGTGTCATGAGCACTATGGGGCTGAGAGTTCTCTTCCCACCTCTTTACCTCCAGCCCAGTGGCTAGAAGCAGGGCAGTGCTGAAGAGCAGGCTCGGCATCTCACTGGTACCCCCATTCCTCCATAAACTGGGGTGATGGTGACATGTACCTGGGGGGAGGACTCAGGAGGGACCATCAGTAGGGAGCCTACATCCACCCTGGACCCAGGAAGCACATGTGTGCATGCTCACAGACACAGACACATGCACAGACAGTCACAGAGATACACAGACACGTGTGCACACACAGTCACAGGCACACACAGATACAGCCACATGTGTGCACGCACAAACAAACATGCACACACCAATACAGACATATGCATACACAGACACATTCATGGGTACACACAAAGAGATAGATACGCACATGCACTTACACAGGTGCGGGTTCATGCACACAAGCCCTGACCAGGATGGGTTGCTGTCCCCCATACATGATTTTTGATGATGTAAAACGTCCTCCATCCAGGGGACACCCCACGCTCCCCTTCAAAGAATGAGGTACAGAGGCCAAAGGTGCTGCGTGGGGCAGCGGGCATGGTGAGTCCCTGCCACTGTGTGTGTGGGAGGGTGTGGGCTCTGGGAAGGGCGCCAGTCTGGGTGTGACTGAGCTGGGCGTGTTTGCAGATAGCATTCCCGGTTTAGTCTCACCTCTGAGCGAGCATGACCTCACAGGAAAGTAGTTCCCGGCAAGCTGTGTTCTCTATGGAGACATCCATGAAACTGCCTGTGCACAGTCCGTCCCAGGAGAAGCTTAGCCTATGTGGCCGCGTCAGCTGGCCCACCAGCCCACCTGCCGCGTGCAAATTCTGCCCTGTGCTTTCAGGACAGGAGTCAACTCCTGAGAAGGGGTCCCTGGGGTCCCTGTGCACCCTGGAGATTTGGCTCCAGCCCCTCTACCACATCAGGGCCCTGGTCCTCCCCCCCAGGTATAGTGGCCCCACAAAGGCAGCACTGTAGCACTGCTTGATCTGGCCCAGGGATGTGGGCATTTAAGCAAATATGCCAGTGGGTATCAATCGCAGCAAGACACTAGGGTTTTACTCGGATCCTGTTAAGACTCCTCAGAGTGAATTTGGCCTCCAGGAAGGCTACCTGGAATTAGTGTCCCGATAATCAGGCAAACCAGCTTGAGGTGAGCCCAGGGCACGTGGAGGAAGTGCCCCTCACTGTCTTCAGCTCTGTCTGGCACCCCGTCCATTCAGTGCTGGCACATCTGTCTCCATTCGAGGGCATTGGCATTGCAGCCTCTCCCCAGGATTGGACAGTGGGAGATGGACAGTTTAAGAGCAGGGCATATGAGTTTTCCTCTGGTTTTGGTAACAAATTACACAAATTTACTACTTAAAACAACAGATTCATTCTCTTACAGTCAGAGGTCAGAAATCTAGGATAATCTCTGCCTTAAGGTCAGATGATTAGCAACTTCGCTTCATAGGCTATTTCTACTTCATAGGCTATTCCAAGTCCCCTGCAGTGTAACAGGATGTGTGCACAGGTCCTGGGATTGGGATGTGGACAGGCTGGGGCCAGTATTGTGCCTACCATGGAGGGGATGGGCACTTCCTGCCATCAGCAGCACATGGGTCTGGAGTTACAGTAACAACACTTTCTGGGGACGGTTTTCAAATATTTGGGCATGCTAAACACAGATATACAGATCGTAGGGCCACCCCAGAGTGTCCAGTTCCGCCCAAGTCTGGAGTGGGCCTGAGAATACACATTTCTGACAAGTTCCCGCTGATGCTGATGCCGCCGGTCCGCGGACCCTCTCTGGGACCGCTAGGCTATGCATGGGTCCCCCAGCCATTGCCAAAACACCTCCAGTACCAGGATGACTCAGATGGCCAGCGAGGGGGACAAGTCATGGTCTAGAGAGCCAGGCTATCCAGGGTTGAATCTCAGCCAGGTGACCTTGGGCACCCTCTCTGGGCTGCACTGTGGGCCAACAACAAGAGCTAAAGGAGAGAGTCCCTGAAAAACATTCAGGACGCTCAGGTCGGCCCTCACTAGCTGAGAAGAACAGTCCAATGCATCACTTTCTGGGCTGCTGCTGTGACCCTTGGGGGTGAGGTCTCCCTGGGGTTGTCCCCAAGACACACTGGCAGGGGTTGGGGCAGAGGGTGTTGGAGCAGAGGCACAGCATTCTGTGAAGATGCAGAGACTGAGTGTGTCTTGCTTGGGCTGTGGGGCAGCTCTCTGGCCAACACATACCTCCCTGCCTCGGTCTCCACTGAGCAGGCTTGGTTCCTGGTGGTCCTGGTTTCTTCTTGCAGGGAGGAAACCTTGTGAGTGACGTGTGAGTTCCTGGCAAAGCTTGTTGATCTCACCCACCCTGAGGCACTGGCGGAAGTGAAGTGGGGGACGGCAGCCACACCACAAACACGCAGACGCCTCTAACCCACAGAACTCTCTGTTTGCTAAACAAACACACTAGTTTCATGGTTTCGAGCAGGTATATTCCCTCTCTTCCTTCACCAGCTCATTTCTGGAGACCAGTGCTTGGTCTAGGGTGTTACTTAATTTTAAGTTGTAAAATTGGTTTCCTGATGATGGAACAAGCATTTATTGATAGCTTACTAGATGCCAGACTCGGTGTGTTTTTGTTTAATCTTTACAGTAACCTGTATGGTGGGTGAAGTCCGGTTTTATAAGAGGAGGCTCAGAGAGTCAGTAATTTGCTCTACGACACACAGGTTTTCTGACTGCAAGCTCTGTCCCTGCAGACCCCCGGTTCTGATTGGGGAGTGAGGAGGTGATGCATGCACACAAATCAGTTTCTTGACCGCACAGCATATCACATGCTCCAAATTGAGAAAGTGTGGAGGGAACATAGAGCCTCCTCACAGCAGAAGGCCCAGTATATACACCCTCCAATTCTTCTCTTAAAAGGGGGCTCAGCTTGTTTCATTACAAAGGACACTTCTCTTTGGTGGCTGTCTAGCGTCCCCTTGTGTGTTTGCTGTTCGGAAGGATGTGTCCAGGAGTGATTGTAGGTGTCAGGCACTGCTAGGTCAGGAGGTGAGCAGATGTAATTCTGAGAGATGTGGTAGGCTGTCGTCCTTGGGGTTATTGTCATCTCCCACCAGCACTGAGTGGGGGCCACGTTCCCACAGCCTACATGGCCTTGGTCTATCCTGCTACTGTGTGGCCTCATGGCTCCTCCAAGCCTGAGATGTGAAAGACAGGAGCCTCCAGGGCTGAGGGGCCACTCTGCCGTGTAGTCTTCAGTCACATTCAGTATTTAAGACCCCTAAGGGTCCAGCCTGGGGGAGCCTCATGTAGCCTAGGCTGTGGCCAGCCTCCCTCCAGATGGATGAGGTCTCCTGCATGGCCATTCCCTGCCCTGACCCGAAGCCTAAGCAGTCCTGGGCAGGAGGCCCTGGTGGTCCCATCACCATTATCATCACTCTGGTCATACTCCCTTCATCCTTGCAGGGCAGCATGCTTTTTCTTTGAGTTAGGTTGGGCAGGTGTCATCTCAGCCTGCAGGTGAGATGAGCTCAGAGAGGCAAGACCCCAGAGTCACAACCACAGGTGGCAGAGGTGGATAGGAATCTGGCCTGAACAATGCTCCTTACTTCCATGCCGCCCCACCCAGGCAGATGGGGGCTGAGGCTGCCAGGTAAACCTCCCCCCACCACCTACCTGCTGGGCCGGTGGAAGCACTTCCTCTTGAAGTTACAGCAGGGAACTCCAGGCTGCAGAGTCCCCACAGACTTCTCCAAATAAAATCTTTCATCTTTTACTACTATGGCAGAGGATCACTTCAAAGAAAGCTCCTTGGCTTCTTGATTTCTCCTCATTTGTTATTTCATACAAAGGAAACCAGAGAAGCTTACTTTTCTGCACATCTTGGCTAGGGTGTGCTTCCCTCCAGGGACAGAGAAGCCCTGACCGGAAGGCACCAGGTGTTCTGGTTCCTGGTTCCTGGTTCTAGCACCACCNGTGCTTCCCTCCAGGGACAGAGAAGCCCTGACCGGAAGGCACCAGGTGTTCTGGTTCCTGGTTCTAGCACCACTNGGTGTTCTGGTTCCTGGTTCCTGGTTCTAGCACCACCTCAGTGTGGCATCAGCCCCTCTGTCCCAGCTGCCTCTACCTGCCTCTGTCTGGGTCTCTCAGCTCCCCCCCCCCAAGATAATTTTCTAAATAAACAAATGGTACTTTGCACAATAGTATGTGACCATGTTGGTAACAAGTTATGTTAGCTCCACTCAGTTATACCCAGGTATAACTGAGTGGGTTAGGAGGGTACATTTTGGGGTCTGGCAGTGCTTGGTGTGGGGGACCCAGTCTAGCTATTTATTAGCTCTGTGTTCTCAGGTACATTTCACAATCTGCCTGAGCCTCAGTTTCTTCATCTGTAAAGAGGAAGTCATAGCACCAACCTCCATGAGGTGGCGGTGTGGGCCGAAGCCATAGTAAATCATTAGTTGTGCAGCCAAGGGCTTTGTGCAGAGAGCTGGGCACGACCTCTGTCTCCCCAAACCTCACCCAGGGGCAGCTTGCTCATCCAAACCCAAAGACTCCCCAAGTTCTTGCAATTTGGCATACAGTTAGATTTATGAGCACTTATTTTGTTAACATATGGACTATTTCAGCCAGGGACGAAAGCATTAAGATTATTTCAACCAGAAAGCTTCCAGTTAATTGTAAAGAGCCCCGAAGGCTGGCTGTGCCCCCTTCTTGGTCATGGAGGTAACTCCGGGCTCTGGCTTCTTCCAGGAAGCATCTTTGTCTAATTTCTTCCACAGCCTTTACCCAATCACAGCTGCAGACTGTTATTGAACGCCCAGCACAAGCCACAGTGTTCTGCTGGCTGCTCACCTTTTTAACTTCACTGATGCTGGGGTGGATGTTTTCCATTATTTTAAAGAATCCATCCAACACAGAGTCCCTTTATCTTGGCAATCTTCCTGGAGCTCGATGGCATTTTGAAAATATGTAGTTAGCAGGTTCACTTAGCACATAATTTCATGGTTTGTGTTTTTATATCCCACCTCATTCCAGAAAGAATTTAAGGCAGCTGAAGCTCACATGTAATGCAGCTCTACCTGCCGAGTTCAAGGAAGGTTGTGGGAGTGCTGGGTCCCATCTCAGTCTGGCATCTTGGGAGGCCCTGGGGGAGGCTCATGAGTGGCTGGAGCTGAGAGACTGGAGTCCCCCTGCACTACCACTTACTAGCTATGACAGCTTGGGGCAAACAAGTCCACCCCTCTGGGCCTCTGTTTTCTCACCTGTAAAAATGGGTACAACAAGTAACTACCTCCAGGTTGTATACGGTTACGTGAGTGGCCACATGTCAACATGCTGACGCAGTGCCATGTTTAGTAAGAAACAAAATACACGGAGCCAGTTTAGCATCTGGGCTTCAACTGGGGGCTCTGGCTCTGACAAGTGCAGACATTCTGGGGGGAAACCCCCAGATCCAGAGTGGTGGCTGATGCCGACTTACCCAGCTTGGCTCCTGGAGCTCTGCTGTGATTGGGAGCGTTCAGCTCCACACCTTGAGTGGCAGGGCTATATTGCTGTCCTGGCCCTGCACCTGGGCGTTCAGCCCACAGCTGGATCTTGTAAGCATCTGAATGAATGGCCCATGGCTCGGCCACCGTGAGCTCCCTGGTATTGTGACAGAGGGTTTCGGGGATGTGCTGTCTGTTCTCAAGGGGACATGGCTGGGCAGCCCCATTCCTTGGGCTGGGTGTGACTGCCTGTTCTCTCTTTCAGAGCCCACAACAATGGTGGTGTCACCAGCCAGCTCGGAAGCCCAGGTACTTTTAAAACAATTTTTTAGTTTATTTGATACATATTAAAATTTATATGTATTGTATAATGTAAATTAGAAAACATAGTTACGCTACTGTTCTGAGAGGCAGGACACAGATGCAGCTCTCCAAGGGCTAAATAAGAGACCTGATGAAGAGCTTATTCCCAGAGGCTGGGCAGGGAGGGAGAGCCCACATGGGCAGTGTGGACCCAGGGGGCCTTGAGGGCCCCAAAGGGAGGGGAAAGTGATGATATCTCACCTCCCTCTCTCCTTCCACCCTCTGAGGGAGCAAAGGTGATGTGGTGTGTGGGGATGGCCCCCTGGGCCCACAGTGTTGGTCAGGGTGTGGGTCAGGGGGGCACAGAGGAAAACCAGCCTAGTGAGTAATGCCCAGGGACCCCCACCCCACCCAGAACTCAGACCTCAGCAGTAGGACTTCTCCCTGTATCTCCCACTCACCTGCCCCTAGGTAAATTGTCCTGAATTTGATGTTTAGCATTCCACTGTCTTTTTAAAAAGTTTTATGCAGTTACACATGTATATATTAAATACAGCATTATACTAATGTGGGGGTGGGCACAAGCCAAAGGAGGCTATATCCTCCGTTGTAGAGAATTTAAAAACAATAGTGAAACCATTCCTGCTGTTTTTAAATTCAAAAACATCCATCCCAAAGCTGCTGCAGCTCTGAGTCAGGGACTGGGTTGCTGTGAGTTCTGTATTGTGCTATGTACAGGGTGGGCAAAAGTAGGTTTACAGTTGTGAGTGCACAGTTTGTTCTTGTATTATTATTTATTAATTATTGTATTATTTTCCAGATGAACAACTGTAAACCTACTTTGCCCCGCCTGTATAGTTTTCTGGAATTCGAGGGGGGTAACAATAATGTGTTTTCAAGACTCATCTTCATTGTTTGGGTTGGCCGTTGGCCCCCTTTGCTGCCACAGGACACTCTGGGTACTTTACTTATCGATAGCCAGGAGCGTTGCCCTGCCTCTCAGGCCATGTCCCCAGGGCTGTGCCTGCTGTCCACACCTGCTCCTGCAAAGGAGACCTATTGTTATCAATTCTGAAGCTATTTACAAGGAACTTTGTAGATGGGAGTCTAATCTGGACTGTTGTGCCTGGAGGCCCATAAATTAACCTGATACCCCACCCCAGGAAATGTGGCAAGGGACACACTTGTCATGTTGGCCTAGCGAGTGGGAGCTGGCCTGCAACTTCAGCTCCTTCTCTCTGTGGCTCCATCCGTTCCTGGGCTGGACCCTGGCTTGCCCACCACCGGCAAGCAGGGCTGGAGGTCCTGGGACTGTGGCTGGCTGCCCAGATTTTTCCTTATGGAAAAGCTAGTGCCTGCTTTCCAGGTGTGTGGGGCACAGAGAAACTTTTAGGAGCAGCTATCAGATAAGAGGCTTGCATGGAGTTAACCCTTTCCCTGACTTGGTGCTAGCCAAGGCCAGCAGCCTGAACAGAGAGGGAGAGGCATGATGTGCTGCGTTGGAAGTTGAGGGCTTTCCTGTTTTACCCTCTGTCTGTCCTACCCCATGTGGCAGAGTGGTCCTCATTGGATAGAACTGATTAGAGCCACCACTAGGGTCAGCAGGGCCTATGGGACAGACCCAGAATGTGTGTGAAGTTTATTTCCACCACCATCTCCTTCCTGGCACCTATGTCTGGGCCAAGAAAGACTTGATGGGAATTCTCAGGAATGGTAGCTCCTGCTTGCCCAGTCTTCCCAAGGGGGCTCTCTAGCCCACTGCCCTAGGGGCTCCTCCTACCCTAGCCAGGGCCCTGCAATTTACCTGTCAGGTGTTAGCAGCCTTTAGGCCTTGGGCTCTGCCCTTGGACTCACAAGTCCAGGGTGTGACTCAAGCTAGGCCTGTGACTTGCCTGCCTGAAGCAGAGATGAGATAGCCTCTAAGGATGTGCTGGGGTTCTCTTGCCTTTAGGCTGGAGCCTTCTCTTCCCGCCAGGTCCCCTAAGCCTGCTGATCCCCCAGGCTCCCTCCAGGTTCAGGGTGTTTTCTAAGGCATTTCTACAGGACAGAGAGTCCTGTTCTTGTGTCCTGTCCCCTGCCCGATCCTGGCGCTTACCACCTGTCCTTCAGCTCTGCTCAGGTTGGTTCTCCTCTTCCAGGTGGTGGGAACACAGGAAATGAGAGGAGAGGCCAGGGGGCCCTCTGAGGCCAAACAGTTGGGGGAGTGGAAGGTGCCCTGGTGAGGGCCTGGCTCCACCTGCCACCAAGGCCATGGCTCCAGCCTTCACACCTGGCTCTAGCCTTCCACACAGGCCATGGACAGATCGGAGTCTCAAGTCCAGCTCGGGCAGTTGCCAGTTGTCAGTTGCTAGCTGTGGTCAAAGGACTGTCGATCTGTGCCTCTGTGCACTACCTATGACATGAGAGGTTACCTGGTGCATTGTTGCAAGGTCAGGTGGCATTGAACTCAGCTCAGTGCCTAACCTAAGCAGAGCTGTTGACCTTTGTGTGTATCTTTTGATCACTGTCATAAAAGGAAAACATGACAGTTTAAAACATAAAAACAGCACTATGCAAAGTGGAAGCAGCATCCTCGTGAGTATGATTATCTCTTGGGCTCAGCTCCACCTTTGGCCATCACCCACCGGCATCCTGCACGGTGCTTCTCTGTTGAGCAGGGAACATCAGGGTGCAGACGGCAGTCGGACACATGGATGTGCCCCAAAGAACACAGGCTCCTCGGATGTTCATGGTAATCCATGGAAATGGGGTTCCCTGCCAGAAAATTGAGACATGCTGAGTTAAGACATCTCTCTACTTCAAGACTCACTTTTTTTTTTTTAATGTGCTAATGCACTTTTAAAAAAAAAAAGCATATTATGGAGAATTTCAAACCTATACGAAGGAAACAGTACAGTGTTGTGGGCCTGACAGTTACATTCAGTTACAAGTAGGATCATTTCTTAGGTTTTTCTTTTTCAGGCAAAATTTACACACATTGAAATTTACATGCAGTTTAAAATACTTAAATGAGGAGGTCATTTTTTTATGAGTTCAAGTGTCAATGCATAGTTAAACAATTTACTCCAGCAGCATGTATTGAATAAACTGGTCTTTCTCCTCAGATTTACAATATGCTGTTATATGACATTAAAAGATTTAATTAGGGTGTCTCTGTCTTTTGTAATAAAATTTTTTGGGGTATACTTTACATTAGAATTTGACAGGTTCTGACAAATGTATCTGCCATTTCACAAGGACACAGACCTCTTCCATCACCTGAAGTTCCTGTCCCTGTCCAGTCCCCAGCCCAGCCCTGCCTCAGAACCATTGGCCTGCTTTTTGTGGCTACAGATGAGACTTACCTTGCCTCGAATTTTATATAAAGGGAACCATGCAACATAGAGACTTTGGACTGGCCCCCACTCTGCATCTGGGGTGTGAAACGTGGGCAGTGGTTCGCACCTTTGAACAGCTGTCTTGGTTTCTGCTATAAAGATGGGCCACGTTTGTGTGCCATCCACCAGTGAGAGCTGTTTGGATATCCAGGCGTGGGCACTGTGGGCATTCCAGGACAAGTCTTTGTGGGTACTTGTTTTCCTTTCTATTGATTAAATATCTGGAAGACTAGTTGGTAAGTGCATGTTTGATTGTAAGAACTGGCCAATATTTTCCACAGTGGCTATGCTGTTTGGGGAGCACCCGTCATCCTTGTGCCTTGTTCTGGTGGTCCCATGGTATACCAACTGTGGACGACAGCTGGCTGTTTCCATTGCACTGAGCCTGTAATTCAGGCCCAGCACACTGTCTCTCTCCGGATGACCCCCCTGCTTCCTGGGGCAGGCTCCGGTGACTGTCTGGACCCCTGTCCTGCAGATGGTGCAGTCGCTGGGCTTCGCCATCTACCGCGCACTGGACTGGGGTCTGGATGAGAGTGAGGAGCGGGAGCTCAGCCCACAGCTGGAGCGGCTTATTGACCTGATGGCCAACAGCGACTGTGACGACGGCGGCTGCGGGGCTGCAGATGAGGGCTACGGGGGCCCAGAGGAGGAGGAGGAGGCAGAGGGCAGCCCCCGCACCGTGCGCACCTTCTCGCAGGCCATGCGGCTGTGCGCAGCGCGCCTCACCGACCCCCGGGGCGCACAGGCCCACTACCAGGCTGTGTGCAGGGCGCTCTTCGTGGAGACTCTGGAGCTTCAGGCCTTTCTCGCCAGGGTCCGCGAGGCCAAGGAGGTAAGCAGAGGGAGGTGTACAAGGAGGCACAGGGTGGATGAAAGCAGGAGGAGGAAGGGGGCCAAGGATGGGGGGCGGGGATTGCCGGTGGGCAGGTAGTGAGCGAATTGGAGGGGTCGCAGGAGGAGGCCAAGGCAAGGTGGTGTCTTAGGTGCAGGTTGGTGGGGCCTGGGGAGGGGAAATGAGTAGGACATGGCAGTCTGTTCCTCCCCTGTGTTTTAGTCCCTCTGTCCCTCTGTCTGTTCAACAGGGAGTGGAAATGCACTTTGTATGGGTACTGACCTAAATGCACTACCCAGTTCTGCACTGGAGGGAACTGAGGCTCAGAGTGGCTAAGTGAAAGGCTGTCAGCCTCTGGGCCCCGTGACCCCACCCCCACTGCCTCTGAGTTAGTTATTAACCTCCTGCCTCCAGCTAACCTGGGCAGGTGTTGGCCCCTTCTGAAGATGGAATGCTAAAGGCAGCCACTCCTCCCTGCAGCCCAGGATCCAGAGGTGCTCAGTGTGCTTGGAGCTTTCCAGTGGGGGCAATTGAGAGATACTGGCCCAGGCATTTGCCTTGCCTGTGATGGTGTGATGGTGCTCTCCACGCCCCTTATGGTTATCATCCATTTTAGAGAAGAGCAGCTGGAGGCTCTGAGAGGCTGTGACCTTCGCCCCAAGTCACAGAGCTAGTACAGGGCAGAGCTGGGGCCTAAGCTGGCTCTCGCTTGAACTGGTGTTCTCAGAGTTAGAAGCTGACAGTCTGCCCCACAACTCTCCTGGCCTTGGAAGAAACTGAGGTGTTTCCTTGAAATGGGGGTCTTGGCACACAGGGACCCCGCCTCCCATCAGCATCTCACAGGTGACAGAATGGACACTTTGGAGAAGTCACGTGGGAATTTGCTCCCCCTCTCTTAAGTGGCCGAAGGTATTTTTGGAATTAACTGATGCTAATCCCTGCTTCGACCCTGACCCATTATGGGTTCTGTCTCTCTCTTCCTCTAACCAAGAAGCATTCTGGGCAGTTTCCCTGACCCTCTAGGCCTGAACAGGCTCTCAGGATTGTTCTGACTGATGGGGCCTGGGACCCAGCACAGGACAAGCCATAGTAGTTGCTTGAGCCTCTTGTCCCTTGTCTGCAGCCCAGGCGATATCCCAAGGGTGGTTCCTCAACCCTTGCCAGTCTCCACAGAGCACCCCTCCCCCTCCTTCTTGCATCTTGCAGATGTCCTTCTAATATTCTAATTAGTGAGTGCTCTGAAGTCATTGTTCTGTTGCTAAGATCAATTCCTGACCCAGACAACAGACCCTCCTTCTTTAGCTGGAGCAAAAAGTTTTAGATTTCAAGCAGTTGACCCATGAGAAGTTCAGGGAATTGGTGGTAGAGGGCGTACAAGGAAGGTCTTTCAGGGGGCACAGCTGGGCAGGCATTTTGGGCAGACACAGGCTGCTCAGAGACAGGTGTACGTACTCAAGGAAGGATGGGAGACACACCTTCAGGCCCTTTGCCCGCAGGGACCACCAGGTCACACATAGGTATATTTTTAGAATCACGAACCTTGTGCTTCTGAGACTTGGCAGCGTTTTCTAGAGCAGTTTGGCCAGTGGCGTGGGGCTAAAGCCAGGGAAACTGGTTCTGTTTTAGTTGGGGGGGGAGGGAGATGCTGTGTGCTAAAAGGCAGGTGCTTCTCCAGGGTGGGGGAGGTGGTGAGAACAGAGGCCCCAGATGCTGCCAAGATTCAGGAGAACAGAGGCAGCAAATCGAGCAGCTTCTTCCCAAATTCTCAGCATAGTAGTTATCTAACAATCCCTGCTGTCCTTCTTAGGCCCTGACCATGCTGGTGGCATTTTCCCCAGTTCATAAAATACATACCTGTTTTCCAGGAGTAACTCACCCTCTCACCT